CCAAGCAAAGAGCGTTTTCTCTTTTAAAGAGGTCCTACCAGAAAGCAAAACTAGCCAGGCTGATCTTGCTAATGCTAATAAGGATGAAACAAAACTTATTGATAACCAGCAGGAATTAACCGATAATTTAAACCAGAAAGAAACAAATGGCATGCATGATGAAACAGCAGGGCAGGAACAGCAAGAAGTCTCAAAAGACAAAGGTATTGCGTATATTGAGTTTCCTCCCCCTCCTCCTCTGGACTCTGCTTCCGAAATGTCAGACCCAGAGAGAAAAGGTTCATGTGCCTCTTCAGAGACCGAGACTGAAATGATGGAGGTAAACTTACAGGAAGAGCATGACAAGCATCTCCTAACCGAGCCAATTATACGTATACAGCCCCCTTCCCCGGTGCCCCTCGATGACGACGCAGATGACGACGATGACGAGTCAATCTTCCAGCCGATTCCTTGCAAGAAATTCACTTCCAAAGTTTCTGAGGAGGAGGACAAGAAGAAGGAGAAGGAAAAGGCATCTAAAGCCAAAAAGCCTGACAAAAATGGTAATAACAAAGATCCTCACGCTGGGACCAATGGCTCCAATGGTTCCAGCAATGGTTCAAAAGGTTCTAATGGCAAAGCAGAGGACTATGAATATGAGCAAAATGGAAATGACCAGTCAATAACGGACTGTTCAATAGCCACGACGGCTGAATTTTCTCACGATACAGATGCGACAGAAATAGACTCCCTAGATGGGTATGAACTTCAAGATGAGGATGACGGCCTCTGTGAGTCGGCAGATTTACGGCTGTTTGGTCTTCCAGACAGCCGGAGAGATGTCTGGGCAACAGACACTTATAGGTCCACTGATCGCTCTTTTCCCCCGACCAAACTGGAAGTTATTGAGGAGGAGAAAACCCCAGAGGAATGTCAAAAGGACACTTTGAAAAAAGATTCACCTCCAAATGGTGGACAGCCTGACAGTAAAGACGGAGCTACAAGTCAGGAACAAAAACCCTCGGACAAAGAGGGATTTTCAGACACTTACTTTAGTTATAAGTTAGAAGAAGAGTTTAACTCTCCTTTTAAGACTGTTGCTACTAAAGGGCTGGATTTTGACCCCTGGCCCAGTAAAGGTGGGGAAGAAGAAGTCGTTGACATGGGAGGGACACGGGGAAGCAATGGTGAGCCTAAGCCTTTTGGACTGGCAGTCGATGACCAGTCTCAGGCCACAACACCAGACACTACCCCTGCCCGAACGCCAACGGACGATAGCACGCCGACGAGCGAGCCAAACCCATTCCCCTTCCATGAAGGGAAGATGTTTGAGATGACGCGCAGTGGTGCGATTGACATGAGCAAGAGGGACATGGTGGAGGAGAGGCTTCAGTTTTTTCAGATTGGTGAGCATTACTTCTCGGCGGGCAGGTACAGGGTCAGGGACTTGGAGGTAGATGCCTCCTTAGAGTTTAACACTGAAGATCCCACAGATACCTTATCAGTCCCTCCAGTCTCTATTCAGACTACTACTGTCCAACTAGAAATATCAAATACAGCTGGCAGTTACAGCACATGCAGAGACTCCAACACTGAGCCTAAATTCTCTACTTTTAGAACAGGATTCAAGCTGTCACCTGATAAAACCTCAGACGCTTCAAATAGCACTTCTAAATGTAGAAGCACCTTTGATCATTCTAATTACACAACCTCAGGAACAACTGTAGATAGTTTTTACTGTGCAACCTATACAGATTACTGTCATGCATTGAACATGGCAGATTCAAATACCACACCATCATGCATGACAGATTATTATTATTCAAATGACCGAATTCCTTCAGGTACAGCCGACCAGAGGTGTCAGGATACTCATTACCAAAGCACACCTCCACAACACATTAGCATTCCCCAAACACAGAGCAGCAATACCAGTAGCTACATCCCCAACTCCCATCATGTTCATTCAGACGTCCTTCAGGCTGACAGTACTGTGTTCAACCTGTTGTCCTCTTCAGAACCAAGTTTGCAGGAGGTCAGCAGGATAGAAGCATCTTTTAGCCAGTTAGAGGACCAGATCAGGGAGGGCAGGGCTTTTCCTAATTCAGCAATAAGGAACACAGAAGCCAAAGAGGTCAAAGGCCACATATTTAAGTCCAGGTTACCACTGAGGGTCCCCAGTGGCAAACTATGCAGTCAAAGTCGACCAACAATAAAGAAAAAAGCACAAGAAAATGTTGTAAAGCAAGCAACACATAAAGTCAGGGAAAGATTCGACCCTTTGGAGAATTTATTACCTAAGTCAAGAATCCCAGTAATGAAAGCCATTAAATACCCTTCTTGTTCCCAGGAGCAGAAGCAGGTTAGAACTAAATCTGCAATTAGCGATAGGATCATTAAAACCACCAGGGGTAATAAGCAGCCAACTAAAAGCAGAGCCAGCACTGAACCCAGATACAGTGTAATGAAAACCCCCAGTAGAAGCACCACAAACGAGAGAAAAAGCACTGCAGTGGTCTCGAAACGCCTTAAAACTAGGTCTGCAAGTAGGCAGGTAGCCAAGTCTTTGGATAAAGCCACATCCAAGGAGGCTGAAAGGAAGTTAGAGGGGAAAACCACTGAGGACGAAGAGAGCTGCAGCCTGAGCACAACCAGGAACACTTCCCTGTCAGAGCCATCTAGAGCTTCTAGAAGTTCCTGCCCTTCACGCACCTCTACCTCCACCTCCACCTGCACCACCACACCAACACCATCTGCTAGAGATGTGAGAGCTGAGGTTGAGCAGGCCAGCAGTGAGAGGAGGATGATGATGAGGAGGAGGAAGAGTAGGCGGACGGAGGAAGGGAGTCAGGTTGATCAACCGATCGCGGCTCCTGTCACAGAGACTAGTTTGTAAACCCTTTCTAAACGTCTTATGCTGTACTTTATCTTTCTCTACGAGATGCATGCAGCTGTTGTGGGTGCCTTTGTGATGTGACGTTGTAAGTGTAGCTGTCGTTTCTTCTTCTTCTTCTTCTTGTCGTTCTTGTCATCTGTTTCCCTTGATGTCCGATGTAGAGGTAAAGGCTACGACATGGACCTGGATCAAGCAGGAGATGTTATTTTTGGCTAATATCGGGCTGCTAGACGTATCAAATCCGTTAGGAGATGGAATATCTTGTGTTACAATGTCCAGTTAGTGACAGCGATGTCTTCAACAGGAAGTAAAGGTGGAAAAACTACAGTTGCAGTTAGAATTAGCAAAAGAACCACACTTGGAAGGCTAAGCTAGAAGACAGTATGCATTCCTTTCTAGTTTCTTTTCACACTAAGATAACGTTAGCGTTGCACCTCACCATAAGACGCACCACTCACCTCCACTGTAGACACAACTGAGACCTAGATTGTTTGGGGAACTACGACCTTGTGTTTGTTTTGGTCTGCTTGCCTGGTTTGTAGAAATCTTTTGGTGGTACTTCTGTGAAAACGATTCATCGGCTAAACTTGACAATCGCGTGTATGTCAGCTGCACGAGGTTTTTGTACCTTAGCGAGAACTCGATGCAGCTGGATCGCATTCAATTTCAAGTTGAAGCCATGAATCGCTTTCGACGGTGAGAGGGAATGTTGCCTGATGGTAGATTGTGTGTTGTAGTGACGTGATACAAACCTCTTCTACTCTATAACTACTATTACTAATACTACTAAGCGTGAAACATTTCAGTGTGAAAATGTGATTTCTGTTTTGTCTTTTCTGGCCTCACACATCCTCAAACTTTTGCTTCTTCTTGGTATAATCCACCATCTCACTGATGTACTTTAGTAGCGCTAGCCTTAAAGTGATGAATCTAGCAAAGGCTGTAGCGTCCAGGTCGATTGGTTGGTCGATGTGCACTCATCTCAACAAAGGAAATAAGGATATCGGGAATACAAGCAGTTCATCGACAGCCTTCAAGGAACATCCATTATGCTTGGCAGCTGCCTGTGAATGCCCCTCGCCATTTTCATGACTTTGAACTTACCTAACCAAATGAAAACTGCTAGATCTAAGTATTTAACATTTACTTGGAGTCAGTGCCAAACTAACCTAAACATAGACTTTAAGGAAGTCATTAGTGTGGCTGCATTACGTTTAAACAGCTAAAAAAAAGTCAAGTGTAAACTTTGAACCAGCAGTTTGCATATCAAAACTCCACAACCAATAAGGAATATCATCGACCAATTTATCAGTTGAAGAGTAGGTACAAATTCAGTAACCGAGATTTGATTGCCTACAGCCCTAAATACAACTATCTAAAAGGACTTATGTTATGCATCTACTTAGTGTCCGGAACACAGAACCTAGTCTAGTAAAGATAGTATAGAGAACCCCCTACTTTTAATAATAAGGACAAGACTAGAATAAAGCCTCAAGAATAGTTTGTTATTTTGGGAATGAAGCTTTGTCAGTCGTCCAACATGTGGCTCTGCACTTTGGTTTTCATACGACTTCAACAAATGAGATTGAATCCTTTATATAGTGAGCGTCAGAGGTGGTGCTAGGTATTGTGTTAAGCTAAGTTAACCATGTCCTAACAACTAGATAATGACAGTGTTAAACAATTTCCCAAAATGTCCAACTATTCATCTGAACTAAGAATCCGGTGTCTAAACTGAAATGTTGAGGAGAGTCTGGCCAGAAAAGCTGTTATTTTATTTCAGAAGTGAGACCTGGGACAGTGAGCTAAAGTTAGTCTTTATGTTTGCCCTATATGTAGTATAAGCTTTAAAAAAAAAAATAGCAAAGCTCTAGTTTAATTAAGTAGGTATTCATCAACTAGCTATTTAGTGGGTTTTATGGTTAAGCCTCATTAATGCCAAGAGTCGGAAACAGACAAACTTTCAGTTCACAATCCCAATCTTGTTCCTTTAAATGTCATTGAGGCCCTCTGGGAGCCGATTTGTGTGTCTCTTGCCAAGAATTACACTTAATTAATTTGGGAATTGCTGCCATGATATTGTGCTAATTGCTTGTATCCTGCCCTCCATTGCTTCCTCTATCAGGCCCTCAGAGTCCCTGCGAGAGAACAGACCTCCGCATGGCGATAGTAGCCGACCACCTCGGACTCAGCTGGACTGGTGAGTCTGAACGCATCTCACTTTGTAGAAAACACACCGAAAAACACGCACAAAGCGATGCAAGAATACCATCTGCAATGGGGAGGTTCACCCACTTGTGAGCCTCAGATGTGATGCCCATTTTGCAACACAGAGGAGTCATGATGTGAATCTTAAGGAGCTCTTGTGAGCGGATGAATCAGCTGGATCCCATAGTGTGAGTTTTACAGTGTTTGCTGCCATCTGGTGGACGTACGGCATTAAAACATCTTAAATGAGCAGTACCGCAGTGGCATTTATAGTCACATACATCATCACGAGGATCAAACAGCCAGTAAAACTCAGACAGCGCCTCGGATTTTGGATGTTTTCTCCAAAATCAAACAAACTGAGCTCACGATGAGAGAGATTAGAGCTCAGAAGAGTGAAAACTACACACAGCTGTAAATGTATTGTTAATTTTAAAGACAACAAGCTTGTGTCTTTGTGTTTGGGTGGATTTCAGAGGAGCAGCGGGAGGATTTCATGTGTTTGTGGTACTCGAGCAGCGATAAGGGTGTGGCCACTGCAGTTTAGTCTGAGCCTGACCACCTGCACTGCAGCACTGCCCAGCATGTCGGAGGGTGTGTGTGCACTCTAAATGTTGAAGTGTGTGTGCACAGGAATCCTCCACAGTTGTAGTGGCGTGCCGGCTTGTCCAGTTCGGTTCACCGAGCGAGCGCCCAGCCAGCTGAGGGAAGGAATCTAATCCATATTTAATGTGTGTTCTTGTTGCAGAGCTGCAGCGAACATTGTGTCCTCCTGGTTTTTAGATTTACGGCTGCCACGTTCGTACGCACAAGCAGCACTTCGCCCCTTTATTAGCTGTGTTTGGCAGTAAGAGGTGATTTTTACTTCAGTGCCACGGATTAATCAGATAATAATAGCAGCCAAGTGCAGCTTGTAACATGAGAACCGATCGGCTTAATGTAATTTGGAGGGCATTATCTGTGCTGCAAACCTGAAATCTAATTTAAAGAGCCCATACTGTGCTCATTTAGGGGATCATGATTGTATTTTTAGGGGCTACAAGAATGTGTTTACGTGCTGTAAAGTTTTAAAAAAATAATAATAATAATCCTAATAAGGAAATAACGGCGGACTGCGAGGAAGCTGATCATCCATTGAGAGCATTATGCAAATCTTTACATGGTGACATCAATAAGTAACATTAGAAAATCCTAGACTTCAAACGAGGCAGGTGAGAAGCATGACTCAGTTTAGCATTGACTTTGGACATAAATAAGAACAATACGTTTGTTTTTTTTAAATGCAGTGCTCTTTGTATATCTTGGTATCGCTGCTGTTTTGTTTTTTTTATGCTCATTTTACAACCAACAGGCAGCAGCTCCCCTTCAGATACTCTGTTTTGAGGAGTTTTTCCTGCATGTAGATATTTTTGTCTCTTTCTAAATAAATTTTAATCAGCACTTGCACAAAAAATGACAACATTATTGCCAGTTCTGGCAATCGGGGTTTTGTTAACTCAAGCACAATAGGCATTTTTGTTCACTGAGTGGTCATAAATAACAGGAAAACATACAGATTTGTTTAATAAGGTAATGTAAACTCCTTGCTTCTACTGCTTTTGCACAGTCGCCCCCCAAAGACCCATTCTGAGCAAAGAAAAAAACAAAAAAAAATGCTGCCTCACTATCAGCGCAGATATAAGCACCATGGCTTAGCCGCGAACCAAGGTTTTTCTGAGCAGTGAGGTAATGTTGTTGTGGCGTTTGCTGCTGTTCCAGAGCTGGCCAGGGAGCTGGATTTCTCTGTGGAAGAGATCAACTTCATCCGAGTGGAGAACCCCAATTCCCTGACAGCACAGAGCTTCATGCTCCTAAAGAAATGGGTGCACAGGGACGGTAAAAATGCCACAAGTAAGTAAAGCATGTGTGTTTTCTGAATGTACAAACAAGTGACAAATTAAAGGAAAAAAAGCAACAGAGCGTGTCCTCTGTGAAGTGCTCCTTGACATTTATTCTTCAAGTCTCTGGAAGTCTACTGGATGGATGGAGCACCGTTTCTCCAGAGGATATTCCCTCATGTGGTGTTGAGATGGTGGTAGTGGAGAGCTCTGGCTGATGCTACGTGTCCACGGGGGTGTTTTTAGATGCCGGGGGTTGCACTGCTCCCCAACATTGGATGCCTAATGGGTGTACAACTCGGCAGAGATGGATGAGCATGAAACTTAGTTCTTGGTTCCAAGAGGATGAATCCCATGAACTGACTTTTCCCTCTGTCTTGTGGTTTTAAATTGAAATATTTCCAAAACTGTTGAATGGACTGCTGTGATATTTGATACAAACGTTTATGTTCCTCAGAGGATGAATCCATCTGACCCTGATGTTTCCACCTGTTGCCATCATGAGTATAATATTTGTGTTTTTTGCAGACGTACCCCAACAGCAAGTGGACGGATTATGATGAAGTGTAGTGCAGATGTCATGGTTCCTGGAGGGTGAACCCTCTGACCTCAGACATCCCCTTTTACTTTTTTTTTTTTTGGCATCCTTAGGAGGTCAAGTTTGTTCTTTAACATAACTTGACATCTGTGAAACAAAGCACAGAGCTTTCGGTTCATCCAGGACTCCCCCAAACATGAGATCATTGTAATTCTACAGAAACTTCCTGAAAGGCTTTGTACTTTTTCTTGGATGTGATCATTCCTGAGGTATTCCAGGTATCTCTTCTGGAGATTTTAGAAGTTTGGGCTCCATCAATGGGAAAGCACAGGACACTTAGGAAACCAGTTCACCAAAACGTGTTTCTGAAACCACTTTGAGGTGAGAAATAAGCCTCGCAGTTGCTGAATCTGGCTCCATTTGAGATCGATAATGGTTGTTTTAAATGTTTTTCTGACGTTTGCAGAGGCGTCAGATCGCGCTCGATGCTCTACTTTTGCAAAAAGTGGCCAAGACCTCAACTTTATGCAAATCAGGAGCTTGTAGCATCTCTTGCAACGCATCACAGTGTTGCTTGAATGGATCACAGAGCGTCTTACATAGACAATGAATGGGAAGCATTGAAGTGACAGATCCTGTGGACATGTTTCCATCGGTCCAATATCTCCACAAAAGGCCACACATGCCTTCAAAACACCCAACAGAGCCACCAGATCCAGGATGTTCCTTTAATTTGTCACCCGTCACAAAGAAATGTCCATCTCAACTGTTTCTAATATCTAAATCTGTATTTCAGATGCTAGTTAATGAAGAAAGTGAGACGATATGAATGGTATCATCAGTGTTTTGATAACATTTCTTTGTCTGTCTCCCCTCCAGCGGACGCTTTAACCGCGGTGCTGACTAAGATCAATCGGTTGGATATTGTGACTTTGCTGGAAGGGCCCATATTTGACTACGGTAACATTTCAGGCACACGCTGCTTTGCCGATGATAACGCAGTATTCCCGGATCAGTCCGATGGTAAAGTGTAGCCCACCCTAGCTGAACTCTCAGTCTATCTCTCAGTCTATCCCTTCACCCTTCTTCACCTCCTCTCTCAGCCAGACAGTCAGAACCGACTGTGCAAAACCAATACAGAACCAATCGGGCTCCAACAAAACAGTGGAATTTCATTAAGAACCAAAATGACTTTAATGCTCCGGACCGTCAGGTAGAAACAGCACCAGAGACGTCTTTGTTAAGCAGTCAACACTGGGCAGTCATTGGAACATTAACTGACGGATTTCTATCCACTGCAGGAAAATTTGTACCATTTTGGGTGCATGAAACTTTTAGTGTGTCATTGTTTTTGTAAAAATGTACAAAAGCATGATGAAGGCAGTGAACGCCACCTCTGTCCCGTCTCACAAATGCGCTCTCGCTGATGAGATTGAGGAATTTGTGAGACGGTGCAGGGCGCCGGTTTGGTTTAACAATAGTTATGTTTATGTGTATTAATGCTTGAAAGTTTAACCCTTTTTGCAGATTTGTGTCGAGTACTGTTAAAATACATAAAAACATAATTATAACCACCAGTTTATAACAACGGCATGTTTGCTTTAAGCAGTATGGCAAATCCTTTTTCCTCTCTCCTTCTGTATTTCTCTCTTTCCTCTAAAGTGAAAATGAAATGTGGCTGATTGTGACGGACCCACTGAAGGCTCATTTCAGAACTTTGATGGCGACGTGTCCAGGAATTAGCCTGTAGCATACAAAACCCTACATCACTTCTACCCCCAAACATTGCACTTTTTACCACTTTTAACAGATCTATGTCATCACGAGACACTTTACAGACAAACAAACAAGGACAGAATTACCTCCATCTGTCAATATTAATTCATATAGCAGGTTTGAAACAAATAAAAAGCAGCTCAAAGTGCTTTTCAAGCGACAGGAAAAAATGAAAAAATGTAGGATGTCAAGAGACGAATGCACATAAAAAAACAAGACTGAATGAGACAAAATAGGACATTAACAGTTAAGACAATGAAAGATAAACACAAGATAAAACAAGCAAAAATGTGCTCGTTCTGCAGTCGTGTTTAAATAGTTGTCAAAGTAACATGCATTTGCATTCAGGAGGCAGAATATTAAAGTTATTCACCTCCTGTCAGTGGGTTTAATGTTGTGGCTGAAGAGCTTTTTGCAGATTCTGGTGACTCTAAACACTATATTAATTATATTATATATTATTATATACATGTATTTTCAGTAAAATAACATCACGATTAATGTGACAGAACACAATGTCATAGAGGAGTTTAAGAACGACTGGAAAGTTTTTTTATTTTTTAATTCAGTGTTTCTTTTTGTTTCTTATGGTTTGTACCAAAGATAATTTGTGTAATTTGGGGGGTTTATTTTAATTTTTCTTAAAGCAAACATTGCATTTAAACTCTTGGGGTTCCAATTTTTTTTGTGAACAGATTTTATTTTATTTATTTATTTTTTTTACAGAATTGAGTGCAAATGGTACTGTTTTTTCCCAGCTTTTAAATAAGACATTATATGTGATTTTATTGAAATATTCAAATTTTAAGCGTAGATTTGGAAAATTTTTCTGACAGAATCACACAACACACATGATTGACTTAAGGGCTTTCCTAAAGTTGAACGTATGATGAATTTTTTTGTTTTTACAGATTTTGTCTCTGATAAATGGTGTCATTCTGGCAAATTTTTTAAAGATAGGATGCCTTTCAAACCCAAAGGCTGGTTGAAAAGCTTCTTAGATAATAATGACTCACAATAATAATAATAATAATAATAATAATAATAATACACATAATACACTTTTAGTTAAACTCTCTCTGCTTGACTGCAGTACTTAAACTAGAATACAGTAGTTTTTAATGTTCCTGTTCCTACTTTTACCTGAATGTAAATAATCAGCTGTAGCCACAACATTTACCCGCTGCCCTCCCAGAACCGGTATCCAAACAGGATTTGTTAACCAGGCACACTTAAAAACAAAGTTCTGAAATGTTCTTCATTTCCAGTCTGTCTCATGAGGTTTCTTAAAGTCATCTTAACACAAGGATCAGAGCTGCTGTTGCTTTGAATAACAGCAGAGTGAAGATGATCTTTTTGCAAAGATGATTTTAAGTGAAACCAACATTAAACACGTATTTTAAAACAATAATAATAAAATGCATGGCTATTGCTTTGTGAAGGGCTGCCTGCTCTGATGTTGACTCCCAACGATACACTTTTAACACTCTTTAAACGGGTTTATCCTTTCCAACACGTCTGTGAGTGTTTATTTATGTTTGTTTGTTTTGTTTTGTTTGTTTGTTTGCCTGATGTCACTCACAGACGAGTTGAAAATGAAACACCTTTTTTCCAGAGTGTGCAGTGTATAATGATGCTGCTGTGTCACTGCTGTACTGTTCCTGTCATCTCCTGGTTCCTCTGAGCCTCCCAGCCTCTAGCTTCTTCTGCTTTGAGACCAGCAGACTCCCCTCCTCTTCTTCCTCCTCCTCCTCCTCCTCCTCCTCATCTTCGTCCTCCCGCTGCTTCTAAGTGACTAACTTCTACAGCAATTTCCTTTGTCAGCGCTGAGCAACACTAACTGGCTAGTTTTTTTCACCCGCGGCTACCTTTTGCAAACCTCAGCAGCTTCTGGATCGAATCATAGCTTCCGCCCTCCCCCTTCGCCGCTGACTAGAGTAAAAATACGACAGCGCAGCTTGTCAGGACTGACGGCTGAACTCAAGTCATGTAGGGAGCTAACAGCCTTCAGCTTCTTTGATGAGAGTCACTGATGTTTCCTGCCTACTTCTGCACCGGCTGGATGACACTAACAGATACCTGCCCCTTTAAGGATGCTCTGATCCACTGCACGGAGACGAGGCATGCTCATGATTATTGGTTACCTGATTAATTGCATGTCAGAAAATGTATTGCAGATCAGCTGTAGTACCTGGTTGTGTCACCAGGTTGAGCCTCTTACTGTTTAACAGGATAGTAGCTCGAGGAGGTAGTCTCCAAGCAGAGAGCATTGTGGGAGTTTAGCAAGTAAAGGGCCACCATGGCAAAGTCGTCTGTGACCCTTAATGGCAACCAGGTGGTGCTTTCCTTTTGTCGGCAGAGCTGAAGTTCAATAAGATAGCATCACTGTGGCTAGTGGCTGATAATGTATGTAACAAGAGCAGCCACGAGACCAGTTGATGTCATGAATATTTGATTGTTGATTGATAAGGTTGTCAATGGTCAGTTAAGAAATTTGTTGAGAATTCTTGGAAAAACCAACCAGACATACACACGGCAAACTATCAACTAGTCCTCAGCCTTAGGCCCTGTCCACATGTACACGGGTGTTTGTTTTTCAAGCCTTTTAGGGCATTCGTCCACATGTACACAGGTTTAGGTCACTCCCCTCAGGGTGAAGATACTCAGAAAGTCAGAGGTGATTTTGTGCAACAGATGTGGCCAACATAGTGCCGATGCTAACCTTGCTAACAGGCCTTTTAGCATGTTTACACCTATAGATCCAGTCTCTTTTCCACAGTACTGGAGAGTTAAGACTTGATTATACGTCATTGTGGAAGCACACATGGGTGCCAACGCGACAGATAAGTTGTTGTTGTTGCTGTAGTACTTTTTTTAGTTAGCTTTACAAGACTGACATCATGCTGACCCTCACAATCTTCCAGACACAGACAGCATAAAAGCCATTTTGTGGTTTCCGCAAGACCGATGGAGAAAGAGGTCAGCAGACACGGTTCTAGTCATACTACAAATGGTATACGTCAGCCTGCTACACAAATGGACTTATTGCCTCTTGTAGTTACCACAGAAAAGACAGGAGGCTCCCCGTGTAGGTTTCTGAAATGCTTTGCTTTTTTTCAAGGATGCAGCAGCTGGTTAGCTTTAGCACTGCGTCAATGTGAGGACAATGGGCAGACAGACCGCAGGACGTCTGGAGGTTTTAGAACTTCTTACTGCGTTTGGGTTCTGTTGATGGAAGGCCCGTATGAATCAAAGCGACTACCTCAGCTACAACTCTTCTAAAGATGAATTATAAAGGTGTAGAGCAGTCTCTCCTCATAATGAGAGACAGTTAAGCACCGTTTGTTTTACTGGTGAATGGGCAGTTGGTGCACTTGCACTACGGACAGACATTTGGAAATTTGGTCTTTATATTCCACACGTTTCCTCAGTTGTTGGTAGCTCAACGGAACCAGTAATACCTTTTCGCAGGTTTCTTATTGGCCTACAAGACTTTAGGGTTACATCATCACCTGGTGGTTTGGCATTCGTTTGTGGTTTTGTGTTTTCTTGCATTTTTTGTCTAGAGAAAGTGTACATGTCGACTAGGCCTTGAAGTCTTGACAATAACTGTGAAGGCTGAGGAGTAGTTGTTTGGTTTGGCAGATCCGCTGAACTTCTCACTCTCTGCTGTGGAGCTTTTCTACGGAAACCATTAGAGACTGTTTCCATGCAGTGGACGAGACTAATGGGACTAATGGGCATCCAAAGCATTGGCGACACATTGTATAATTTCCCATTAGTCAGGAGTTTCTCTTTGCATTTCCAAGCAGCTCAGCAAACTCTCCGACTGCAAAGCCGGCCCTCCCCCTCCGTGCAAGACGTGTGATTACGTCCTGAAAGATGCTTCTGCTTTCCGACTAAGAGGCCCGTCCTTGCTTATCGGCCGAGATAAGCAAACCCATGACTCCGACGCTTCTGCAGCTTCGTAACCACTAAGCCTTCATCAGTCACATTCATCGTCTGTGTATTAACCCGTTTCATGCTGTTGTGTCTCTTCCATCTGACTCTTGTCTAACGGTTGTCCTGTTGTTTTGTCTCTTGTGTGATGTGGTTTAACTGCGACAGCTCCAAAGCTCCTTAGAAGTCCCACGTTCCCCCTGTGTCCCCGAACGTCTCGGCCCTCCCCTCTCCCCCCTGCTCCCCCGTCTGTCTTCGTCTTCCCCTCTCCCCCGTCCTCACCTCCTGTCTACCTCCTTCCCGTCGCCCCCGTCCTCCC